TGGCCCCATCTCTGCATCGGATGCAGGACCCTCGTCCGAGTCCTCTCCAGATTCCTGGATTGGTCCCCGTTCTTCCCCACTGTCCAATTCCGCTGCCATCTGCACAAGCTGCCAGCGAACCACAACAACATGCTGTGGTTGCCAAGCCCCTCAATTTTGATCATGTGACTATGGGGATGTTGCAATTGTTGTAAGTGCGAGAACCGTTTTCTCCAGTGCCCTTGCAACTTCGGACGCTAAATGAACGGTTGTAAAGCAAGGACTACCTGTATGTGGGAAAGATCTAGAGAGATGGGGCAAAGATTTGCTGCTGAGGCTGATTGGAGAAGGGACTGTGTATCCCACAGCTGTATAACAGAGGTAGAGAAAGACAGTAAGGAACCCAAAAGAGACGGCGGGAGGTTTGTCCTTCCAGACTTGTAAAATTATCTCAGGGTAGTTTTATAATAAAGTAGAATGATCTCATCTGGCGGTGACTTCTTTCTCATTTCCCAATGAGCCGAGAATGCCAATGACTCATGCTGCGCCCGTATGCCACACTATTTTTTCCAAAATGTTTGGCTCTTCAGATTTGGTCATTGGAATTGGGACGGGCTTGCTATTTCCAAACCGATGGAATCGGCATGTTCTGACCTAGGCTTCCCCAAATCATGAAGCCGACTCCTTGTCTTGACAAAACCCCTTTTATTTAGGTTAAAGTGAATTCCTCTCCAGCAAAGTTCCAGCCAGCAGTCTGTCAAGAGATTGCACAACTACAGACCTTTATCAGGCTTGGAGAGTTGCCAGGCCGATATCTTCCAAACGCCACGCTGTAGCAGCAATTACTTGACAAGAAGTCAGGAACAGATCTTCACCCTAATGAATTGAACTAACTGTCTCCTGCAAAACCCCACTCCCCTTTCGCTCCTCTTTTATTCCCTATAGGAGGGGCCATTCACTGTCCACCTGTGGCTTTACTCCCGAGTCGACCCTTGTTCCTTAGCTGTTCCCTTCTCCTGGCAGCTCTGTGCATGAGCACACTGGGAACAGGCTCCAGCTGCTCTTCTTCCCCACTGATCTCTGGCTCCAAAGGCAGCTGATAACTGTAGGACGGCCCCGGCCCCATCTCTGCCTCCGACGCAGAGCCCTTGTCAGAGCCTTCCCCAGCCTCCAGGACTGGCCTATGTTCCTCTCCAACCTCCTCACTGTCCGAATCTGCCGCCATCTCCACTGGCCGCTGGCGGGCCACAACACAACAGTCCCGCCATATGATTGACATTGGGAATCCGATTCTGCTTGCTTCTCCCAACCCCGCTTTTTTTTTGTTTTGTTTTTTGTGTGTGTTGTTTTGTTGTTTTGTTTTGTGGACTTCTTCGCATCTCTCTCCTGATCCTGTCTGGAGTTTTCGTTTGATCAAAGCCGCGTATTGTAAGGTTGCTGTGGCAACAGTTTAGTTCAATTAATCCTTTGCCTGGGGAATAACATTAAAAGCAAGAAATAAGACCCGAATCAACAAACAGCGGACGCCTCCTCCAATGGCTCCGATCAGATAATCAAGGACTCCCACCAAATCCTGTTGAGTCAAAACTTTTTTTTTTTTTCAATTACAATTCCTTCTCTCTCTCTTTTTTTTTTTGTTGGGGGGGTGGGGGGGGGGGGGGGCAGGGGAGACGGTTCCCTGTTAATCCAGTGGATTAAACAGGCTTTTTTTCCAGATCCCCTTAGAAAAAAGGAGAAGCCCCCTCCCTGTCTGGCCCCTGCCTTCTCCCTAGCCCCCCACCCCAGTGCCCCACAAAGCCCCCCCCCCTGCTTTGCTGTCAAAGTGTCTCTTCTAATGAAGCAATCTGGCTGTAGGCGAGTTTGACCTCCCTCTCGGCCTGGCCCACTGAGTCCGGGTGTGTGTGTGTGTGCTTTGAATCCCAAGCTTCACAATGTCTAGGTCTGCACCGCTTAGAACAAAAGGAAATCCAGCTGTGGAGACTGGTTTTTTTTTTTTGCAACAGCTGGATGCCTTCTGATGTCTCCGAGGAACTCAGGGTTAAAGAAGTTTTATTGAGAAAATTTTATACGGCCGCCTGACTCACTCAAAGGGCAGTTTACAAAAACCAAAGCCCAATGCAAAAGACAATTACACACTCACACATACACGACAACACAAGGTAGACTCCTCTTACTACCTTAGTTGAACCCCAAACTTCTTGTTTTGTTTTGTTTTTTAAATAATTTTGTATTGGTTTTCTGCTAAATATATTTCTTAGTGCTTCATGAACATCGTGTTGTCTGGGTAATTATTGCTTCATCGTTATAAATTTGCATTCTTCATCGCCACTGGTAAAACAGCCACTGGTAAAAGAGATTCCATGTTTGATAATAACTTGGATGCAGATCTGACCCATCTTTCTTTCATGAAATTGTTGTGGTTCACCAGCAGCAGGTGTGGCTGGCTGAGGTCTCGGAGAGCGAGGACTCAGATGAGGGGCCTGCGTGGGATGCAGGGATGGGGCCAGGACCATCAGGGAGTGGAGTGCTGCCTTCGGAGCTTCTGGAGGCTGGCAGCAGCGATGAAGAGGACCCCGAGGAGCCTGGGCCCAGTGTGCGTGCATGCAGGGCTGCTTGAAGGAAAGAGCAGCTGCAGCATCACAGGCGACTCGGGAGTAAGGCTGCAAGGTAATGGCCCCTCCCTTAAGGGATAAAAGCCAGCTGAGAAACCGGAGTTCTTTGCAGGAAGCAAAGAAGGTTTTGCGCTCAAGCATTGTGGACGTTCGGATTCTCTTAGTTTGTGTTTGGAAACTTTTTGCGTTTGGAACATTTCTTAGTAAGTTTATCTAGTGTTCTTGGCAGCCTTGCACCACCTTGACAAGGCTCGTTCTTATCAGAGACAATTAGTTTGAAACAGGCTTTTAACCGGGAATGAATGGAATTCGTTGAGAATCATTAAAAGGTTTTGCTTTTATCTCTGTTTGCTGTTTGTTTCCTTGGAACAAGGTTTGGGTCAGAACAGAAATAGAGATTTTAATGTTGACAATAAAATGTTGTTTGGGATAGGCAGGTGGAGCGTGAGAATGAGAAGCAAGGCTGTGTTTCCGACGGGTAGTCCTCACTTAGCAACTGCCTCATACAGTGATGGTAAAATGGGACAACGTGTGACCCTCCTTGCATTCACAACCATCGCAAACCAAAGCTGGAGTCAGGTCGTAAGCACGGCGGCCAGTTTCACTTATTGACTGACCGCTTCACTTAACGGCTTGTCGCTAGTTCTGCTCCTATGTCCCCCGCCTGTGAGATGGGTATCGGTGGCGGTTTTTAAGGTGTTGTTTGCTGCACTTCGCTTCTGTGGCACTGCTGCTGGCCAGTCTCCAAGAAGTATAAATTAAGAAATATATAATTTGCATGCTCAGCATTTAACTGAACAAGCCCTCATTGGGTGGTTCTGTGAACCCATAAATCATGGTTTGCAAACTGTTTAGCATCGTCTTCCTCTTTCTCGAAACAGATTTTGGGGTGTAGGGTGGCAGGTTGAGGGGCCAGGCTAGAAGTGTGACTGTGTTATCCCACTCCATCTCCCCCAACCCATTTAAAATCCACTTCTCCCCTTCCCTTCCACTCTTCCTCACTTTGGACACCCGGCGGTAGGCGCGTTTTTGGGGGGAGGGAGATACTCCCAGTCTTCTCACATTGGTGGGGGAAGGAAGTCTAGCTCCTAAAGCCCCCTCCCCCTCCTCCTTCCTGATGCCTGTTGCTACAAGAATAATGCTTGGGGGGGGGTGTCCCTCCATCTTTCGGGCCCTGGAGTTGGCATCCATCCGAATCTGCTTGGCATTGCCAGCCTGCTCTTTACCAACAATCATCCAGGTGGGGGCTGCCTTTTAGGGGTGCAGGGGTGGGGGAGACAGGATGGCATGGGCAATTTGGACCCTTCAAGCAGGTGCCTGTCCTCCCCCCACCTCGGGACCTCAGGGCGGGATGGGGAGGTGGGGGTTAGAGACTCCAAAGTTGATAAGTTGTTCCAAAGAAGCAGTGAGCTAGAAGTGAGAAATAAATGGATATTAGTGCAACAATGTGTTTAGAGACGTGAACAATACGATGACTATGATAGAATTATGGAATCGGAAAGTTGGAAGGGACCTTTGAAGGTCTTCTAGTCCAACCCCCACACCCCCTTAGGCAGGAAAACCTACTGAGAGCCCGGGTGACGCAGTGGTTTACAGTAGATGATTGTTAAGATGACCTACTCAATATAATAATATTTTCATTAGAAGATCCGTCAAGAGGGAGAAGTGAATATGAACATTGTAAGATTAGAGAATTATCACCCATGTAACGAACGTTGTAAACTGGGGTTGCAATTGCACAGAGACATCTTGTACCCAGATTTACACACTGTTTAATGGAAGAGGATACGTTCAAGTTTTTATTTAAAAAAAAAAACTTATTTTTTTAAAAAAAGAGACGGCGAGAGCCGGGCGAGCCGCTTCCAAGTTACGCGGGAACGTTTGGCAAGTTTTGGAAGTTTTATGCTCGGAGGCGGGGCAAGAAAAGCCAGGCGTCGTGGAGGGGTGGATAAGACCCGGCTAGACGACCTCCAAGGCCCCCTTTCCCAACTCTGATGGCTTGATTGAAAGGCGTTGAAAAGAGAAAGCCCCCAACTTTCCTCCAAGGGCGGGATTCAAGAGAGCCGAAAGCGGCCGGGCCAGCAGGTCAAGCTCGGGGCGGGAGGGAGGTTCTCCGGCCTCCGCAGCCTCCGCCGCCGCCGATCAATAACTCTTTGGCGACCGAGATGGCGGCGGCGGCCCCTCGCTGGCCGAAATGTCAAGCCGACCGCCGGAGGGGCAGCGCTCCAGCAGGCGCGTCGAGCTGCTGCTGCTACTCCCGGGCGTATTAAAACGGCCGTCGCCGGCTGCTGTGCGGGAGTCCGGCGCCCCGTGGCTGCCTCCTCCGCCTCCGCCTCGCCAGCCGCCTCCTCCTCCGGCGGCGGCGGCGGCGGCGGCGCCTGCAAGGTGTAGCTGCTGTTGCCGCCTCCTCCTCCTCCTCCTCCTCGCCGCTCGCTGGAAGCAGCCGAGGCCGCCGCCGCCGCCGCCAGCATGCCGGCCATCAAAAGGGAGCGCCCGGATGGCGAGGAGCTGGCGCTGGCCGCCTTCCACCAACCCATGGAGGCGCTGCCCGGGTACCTGGTGCCCTTAGCCGCCGCCGCCGCCGCTTCCATCCCGGTGGTGACCCCGCACCCGCCGCCGCCGCTGCCGCCGGCTTACGAGCAGCTCTTCGCCGCCGCCGTCGCCCACCACCACCACCACCACCAGCAGCAGCAGCAGCAGCAACGCGCCTACTTGGACTTCCACGCCGCCGCCCCGCCGCCGCCGCCGCCCGAGGAGCTGGTGCTGGAGCGCTTCTCCTCCGCCTCCGCCGCCTCCGCCTCCGCGCCGGACTTCCAGCCCTTCTTCGACCGGGGCGAGCCCTGCCTGGAGGTGGAGTGCGGCGACAACCGAGCCCTGCTCTACATCCGCAAACTCTGCCAGGGCAGCAAAGGGCCCTCCATCCGCTACCGGGGCGAGTGGCTCACCCCCAACGAGTTCCAGTTCGTCAGCGGCCGGGAGACCGCCAAGGACTGGAAGCGGAGCATCCGACACAAAGGTACCCCCGGCGACCACCCACCCATCACCACCCCCCGGGGGAACCAGCCGTGGGCCAGGCTGGCAGAGCGAGCGCGCTCTGCTCCTGGGCAGAGGCACTCTCGCCCCCCCCCCTTCCTCCGGGATGGAGTAGACCTGGCCCCTTCAACCCGGTGGGACCGACTATAGGATGCCGGGGGAGCCCCAAGGAAGGAGAGGTTTTTTTTTCTTCTGTTTTTTAACTTCCACTCTTGATGCCTTGGGTTGCTGGGGGTGGGGGACGGGGATTGCGGGCGTCTTGGATTGCGCGCAACCCGGTTTTGGGGGCAGGCGGGAGAGGATGGGGGTGTTGGGAGGCTTTGCAAAAATACCCCTCGCCCGCCGGTTTGGGGCTGGGGGCGCGCGCAAGCGGCGGAGGGGGGGGGGGGAAGCGGGGGCGCGGGGCGGGGGTTCCCCCCCCCCCCCGCGGGGTGGGAAAGTTGCGCAGGGGCGCGCGGGAGACTCCGGAGGTGCGTCTCTCTGCCGCCCCCCCTCCGCCCCGCTCGGGGCGGGCGAAGGGGAGCGGAGGGGGGGGGCGGGCAGGCGGGGGAGGGAGGGAAGGAAGGAAGGAGGGAAGGAGGGAGGGAGGGAGAGAAGGAGGGAGCCTTCCTTCCCCGTCCACCGGGGGAGGCAGACGGGAGGCTGGAGCCGCGCGCGTCCCCTTTCCAAACACCCCCGGCCGCCTGGCTCGGAGCCGCCCAACCCGCTCTTCTCTGGCCGCCCATGGAGCCGCCGCGGCGACCTTCTGAAGCCGGAACGCTCCGAGACGGCGGCGGCGGCTTCTTCTTTGGCGCCTGGAAGCGGGTGGGTGGCTGCTCGGAGGAGGAGGGGTGGAGGGGGGAGACGGGGAACTTGCGGGGCTCCGGAAAGCCGCGCGCTCGGTCGGAGAGACTCGCTTATGCGCCCCGGAGCCGAAGGGAAGGGCGACCAGCGGCTGTTTTACGTCGAAGGCGCGCTTCCCGGCGGCGGGGAGAGCGCTAAGGCGACCCCCCAGTTTCTTCTTTTGGGGGGGCTCGTAGCTGGAGCCCCGCTGCGGGAAAGGAGCCACTCATCGCCCACCCGGGAGCCGATCCTGCCTCTCTTGGCTTGGGTTGAATCGCAAGCCGCTTTGGGGGGGGGGGGGAGGGACCGGGCCCTCGGGTTGCGGGGGGGGACCCCGCGGGGGGGGGGCCGGGGGGCGGCGGGGGGGGGGGGGGGGGGTTCTCCCCCTTCCCCTTCCTCCCCCTCCCCGGCTCCCCCGACGCGGCTCGATCCTCTTTTTTTTTTCCCCAACCGCGGAAAGAGCCCCGCAGGCTGTGTGTGTGTGTGTGTGTGTTGGCGTGGGCGCCCCGTCGCAGGGCTGGGACTTTGGTCTTTTCTCCCGCTGGCTCTGTGTGTGTGTGAGTGTGTGTGTGAGAGAGAGGCTTTGACATATCATTAGCGGGATGCGGCGAGCAGAGACTGGGGGGGCTGGATGGGGGGAGAGCCCGACGAAAGGTCGTTTTCAGGCGGTTGATTGACACCTCGCCTTGTTTATTGATTGCCTGGAGGGAGAAAGCGGGGTGGAGGGAGGAGGAGAAAAAGAGGGAGCTGTCTCCCCCCCCCCCCTTTCCCCCCCCCCCCCCAAACAACCCCCCCCCCCCCCCCCCCCCGTCTCCGCCTCGGGGGAGAGAGAGCCCGTCCGCCCCCTCCATCCTCCGCAGCCTTCGTGGTCTGCTGGTCGGAGGGAGAGAGAGAGAGAGAGAGGGTGTGTGCGTGCGTGCGTGTGTGTTATATAGCCCTTCTAAACTGCATCCAGAATGGGGGAAGGGGGGAGGCAGCCCGGCCCCCCCTCCTCCTCCTTCCAACCCCCTCCTAGCTCCCCATTAGTCACCTTTTCAGTCTGGCCAAGGTTTTTTTCCCCTTTTCTTTCTAAGAGGATTAGTTAAGGGCTAATGAGGGTGGGGGGGGGGGCACGCATCCTTCCTTCGCGCGGGGAGGGAATGCTAATAAGGGAGGGGGGGGGGGGGGGGCTGGGGGAGGGTACGGGGTGGGGGGTAGAAGCGAGGCTGACGTCTTTTGTGGCCAGCCTTCCCCTCTCTTCCAAACCAACCTAAGCACTTTCTCTTTCTCTGCCCCCTCCCCCCCTTTTCCTCCTTCCCCTTGTCTTCCTGCACCCAGGGAAAAGTTTGAAGACGCTTATGTCCAAAGGAATTTTACAGGTACATCCACCAATCTGTGATTGCCCTGGGTGTCGAATTTCGTCTCCAGTGGTAAGATGATCGTGAGGAACAAAACAACAAACCCACCAAAATGAATCCGGATTTTCTTTTCTTTCTTTCTTTCTTTCTTTCTTTCTTTCTTTCTTTCTTTCTTTCTTTCTTTCTTTCTTTCTTTCTTTCTTTCTCTCTCTCTCTCTCTCTCTCTCTTCTCTCTCTCTCCTCTTTATGGCACACTTTGGATGCTTCTGTGTTTTTTTTTACCCTTCTGGATTACGTCTGCCATTTAAAACAGCAACTTGTTTAGTGGAAGACAATTTTTCAGGGGAGGGGGGGATGGTTTCGGTTTAGCTGGCTGGCCAGCCACTCATCTCCAGCTGTGGGAGCTGGGTCTGATTTAAAAGAAGTGGCTGGGAGAAAGGAACTATCTATCTATCTATCTATCTATCTATCTATCTATCTATCTATCTATCTATCTATCTATCTATCTATCTATCTATCTACTGAATGACCGAACAACTTACCTATCTATCTAATCATCTACCAATCTATCATCCATCTTTCTCCATCCTCTCATCTCTCCATCCATCCATATCTATCTATCTATCTATCTATCTATCTATCTGTCTATCTATCTATCTATCTAATCATCCATCAATCTATCATCCGTCTTTCTCCATCCTCCTTCATCTCTCTTTCCATCCATCCATCCATCTCTATCTATCTAATTATCAATCTATCTAATCTATCATACACCTTTCTCCATCCTCTCAATTCCCTCCCTCCCTCCCTCCTTCCTTCCTTCCTTTCTTCCATCCATCCACCCTCTTATTTCTTACCCACTCTTTGAGGAATAAAGCCAACCCTACCGGACTGGCCTCTCTTCTTTGGGATCAGAAAGAAAAGACTGGCTTTGGGGCCTTCAGAGGATCATCTCCACTGCTTCAGAAGAATTGACTAGGGAGATGTTTTGTCTGCTTTTTAAAGCTCTCCAGATTTTATAATCTTTTTTTTTTTTTAAAGATCATGTCGTTGAGAGCAGTTGCGTTCACACAGGCGTGTTTGGAGGCATCTTTTGTCTAGGAAACAAGCCACTGCTGCCTTTCTTCCGGTTTTGTTTTTTTTGTTTTCCCTTTTTGAGTTTCGCATGTTTTCGGAAATGCAAATTTTGCAACTGGTGTTGAGCAAAATTCAGATCTGCCAGGAGGTGCCCTAGGGAAGAAGGTTTGGACTGCGAGGCTGCGGATGCCACTGAAGGTTTATTGACTTTTTATAAATTTCATAAGGATGTCGTATTTTGGAGCAGGAGGAATAGCTGGCTGGTGACTAAGGAAGCGGAGGAGAAATGGGGTTTGATGGATTGCCACTCAGGTGTCTGGTGTGGTGTGCAGATGGTAAGGTTTGCATGGTGTGTGTGTGTGTGGCTACAGACAGATTGGACTCACCACTTTCTGATGGGGACATCCATAGCATGGCAAGTTTTGCCATTCGGTTTCGCACAGCCTCACCGGTTTTGTGATTAAAGTCAAATGCGTGTGTTTGTTTGAAGGGGGGTGGGAGGAAGAGAAGAATTTGGCTTTGAGAAAACCCCATGGGATCCGAATTGCGTACATAACTTGTAAGGCTGGTGAAAAACAGATGTCTAGCATTGCTTATTTTTAAAGCACATCTGGGAAAAGAAACAAGGAACAGATTTAAAAAAAAAAAAAAAACCACGAAGCTGTTTTGGTGGGGGGGTGAACTCCTAAAGAGAGATTTGTCACAGATTGGCACATGTGTCTGCAAAGAACTGGTTAATGACATTTGAACCAATTTCATTCTGGATTAAATTCTTAGCAGAGATGATGAGTAGAAAGTAGACCTCCCTTTCCTAATAGATTGTTTCTAACTGAAATAAAGGAAGCTTGGAGAGAAGCAGAGATCTGAATTCTCCGCAGTTCCTATGCTCAAAACATAGTCCTGGGTCGAAGGTTTGTTCAGTTCTGAGTGCTGGCCTTTCGTGCCAGATGTCAAGATTTTAAGTTAAATAAAAATCTGGATTCTTTATGTTTCTACTTTCTCTAGTCCAAGTAGATGAGTCTCTAGCCAGTAGCTGGAATCTTATCACATATGGAACCAAGCCATGGCTTGAGGGGTTTTTTTTGTTGTTGTTTTTTGTGTGGGTTTAAAAGTCCGGTGTGACTCCAGCCATGCCGGTTATAATGTGTGAATGTGGGGTGTTAATAAAACACGAGATAGCAAAGTGCTGTGTGAACCTTAACAAGCATCTTCAGTGGGTATTTCTATGCTTTAGTTGTTAGGTGGATCAGAGAGGGCCACCAAATCTATACCATATATACTTGCAGATCAGCCATGAATTTTAGGTGCTAAAATGTCCCCCAAAATTTGAGTTTGGCATTTCCATGGATGTGCTTATATGGTAATTTTTTTAAAAAAAAACATATCTGTATCTCTCATATATATATGTATGTATGTATGTATGTATGTATGTGTATATGTGTGTATATGTGTATGTACGTATATATATATATATGTGTGTGTATGTGTATGTGTGTGTGTATATATATATATATAGAGAGAGAGATATAGATAGATAGATAGATAGATAGATAGATAGATAGATAGATAGATAGATAGATAGATAGATGATGGATAGATAGATGGATAGATGATAAGATGGATGAAGATAGATAGATAGATAGATAGATGATAGATAGATAGATAGATAGATAGATAGATAGATAGATAGATAGATAGATGATAAGATAGATGGATGAAGATAGATAGATAGATAGATAGATAGATAGATAGATAGATAGATAGATAGATAGATAACTTAGATATTTATATTTCTTCCTGGATTAAGCCCATATGTGGGTAAGTATATCCACAATTTTTATCCAAAATAGCAAGGAAAACATGGGTTTGCTTAGTGGTGTACAATCCGCAGGGACTCCTTTACATATTATCTTTACCTTTTATCTATTTATCAGAAGTTGTGGATGCTCCATCACTGGAGGCTTTTAAGAAAAGATCGGACAGCCACCTATCTGAAATGGAAGAGCGTCTCCTGCTTGAGCAGGGGGTTGGACTAGAAGACCTCTTAAGGTCCCTTCCATCTCTGTTATTCTGAACATTGGCAAGTGGCACATTTTTCATAGTATCTCGGTTTAAAATTCAAGGCTTATCCATGAGTATGTACGGTATAGAAGATCTCTTAACTTTAAAACTGCGGTTCCTCCGTTCAGCCAAAAGTGAATTCGATGTGCGTATTTTGTGTGGACCTGCCAAGTTGTCACAAGGTTTTGGGCAAAGAGAAATGTAGCCGTTGTGGGACTTCTGTTTGGGATGGGGGCAAAAAAATTGCACATCCCTTAACATTGGGTAGAGACACATTTTGCCTCATTAGCCACGGTGTGTACGAACACGCCTCGAAAAACGAGAAATTGGAAGCGATACCTCTTCAAGTTGGAAGATCAAACAGAGGAGTGGTGCCATCTCTAATTAAAAAGAGAAATTTACCAAGGATTTGCTGGCCCTCCGAACTCTTCGGGGTGTTTGGGCTTTCGTTTCACCGCAGGCAGAGGACTGGAAAGCTGTTTTCCACGGAGATAATTAGTTTAAATTATTAGCCAAGAATAACTTAAAAAGCAGGCACGCTATGCCTAAAGCCCGAGCAGTTGAAGACCAAGCTAAGGCTAACTTTACGTGGCAATATGGGAGACCTGGCTATATTTCTATATAATTTTTGCAAACTAACCCCTTTTCCCCCTTTAAAATAAGCATCGCTGAATTGCGTTCCGTTTTTTCCCCATGCACTTCTTAATCCCAGATAGAACCTAGCAGGAATAATCACAAAAACACCCTTTAACTTTCCTGTGGGACTAACCCAGCAATCTATAAATATCTTCCCCATTAATCATCTTAGGCCTAAAGGAAAGCTAAATCTATTTAAAGAAAACAGGCCCTCCCTATCGCTTCCTTGCCTGGTTGCCAAATCTTGACTCCCCCACAGGTGACTAGATGAGTGCATGATTTTAGGCTGGGCTGGCATGTGCATACATGCAGGAACTCCAGCCCCAAACCCAGAAGTGTGCGTAGGAAGGGGCTTTCCCATAAATGTTCCCCCTCCGTTTCAGTTTGAACACAACTCTTCCGCCAATTTGCTAGGGGTGGTTGGCACATTTTCGGTTTTGGGTGAGATCTCTTTCGTTCGTGGCTGTTTTAACTACTTGGGTGGGGTTTTTTGGCAGGAGGGTTTTTCGAAAGGAAAGGACGGTAGGTTTCACAGAAGGACCAGGGGAGACACGATAGCAGTGTTGCAATAGTTGAGGGGCTGCCCCAGAGAGGAGGAGGGGGTCAAGCTATTTTCTAAAGCACGTGAAGGCCAGGCAAGGAATAATAATGGATGGAAACTGACCAAGGAGAGATTCAACCTGGAAATAAGGAGAAACTTTCTGACAGTGAGAACAATCAACCCATGGAAGAGAAGTTGCCTTTGGAAGTTGTGGGAGCTTCATCCCTTGGAACCTTTCAAGAAGAGTTTGGACTCCCATCTGTCAGAAATGGTGTAGGGTCTCCTGCTTGGGCAGCGGGTTGGACTAGATGACCTACAAGGTCTCTTCCAACTCTGTTAATCTAAAGTCTCCCTTTTAAGCAAAAGAAAAAAAAGAGAGGTTTTTAGTTAGAGGGATGCACAGGTAGTCCTTGTCTTACGACTCATTTAGCAACTGTCCAAAATCACTGAAAAGAGTGACTTACAACCAGTCCTCGCGCTTCTGACCGTCGCAGCATCACCAGAGCACCAACGGGGCACTTGGCAACGGGCATGCATTGACAACAGTTGTAGTGTCCCCAATTTGTGTGATTGCCATCTGCCTCTTTCCCAGCTGGCATCCAGCAAGCCCATTCAATGGGAAGTGGAGGGTGGGAAGCCTGATTTGCTTAATGACTGTGTGATTCACTTAACAACCGCACCGATTCACTGAACAACTGGGCTCAAGTTTTGCCTGTGCAGTTGAAAAAAAAGATGTTGAGACTCTAGAAAAAGTACA